ACACACACACACACACACACACACACACACACACACACACACACACACTATATTAACTGTGGTAGCCCACATTTTAATCCTAGCACTGAGAGGCAGAGACAGGTAGATCTTTGAGTTCGAAGCCATTCTGATCCACAATATGAGTGCCAGGACATCCAGGGCTACACAATGAAACCCTGTCTTAAAAAACCGAAACAAAGCAACAACAGAAAATTCTTTAACACCAAGTTTATGCAAGGCTAAAGATCTAACGTTCAACTGCCAGAACACACACTAAGGTGGAAAGAAAGAACCAACCTTACAAAGCTGTCCTCTAACAGCCACAGGACACACATACAACTCCCCACCTAACCACCACTGCCTTTCTCTCTTTCTCTGTCACATCAAATAAACAAACAAACACAAAATAATTTAAGGCTATGTACAATAGTGCCTACTTGGGAGAATCCATTAGAGAAACTGCAACTGAGAAACCAGCCTCGGCTCACAGCAAGAGAGTCTTAAAAACAAAATAAAGAGAAAGTAAACATAGCAATACACTGTATGTTCCTCGTGACTATGGGGCAGCCCCATAGTCAAACAAGAATTTTCTACAGGAAAATAAACATTCACACCCACTGAAAAAGCACAGGTATTCCATAATTACATCAGTTCAGGTCACTCACTGCCACAAGGCTCATGCCAGACTCTGCCTTTAAATCATTTAAGGGCTGAAAAGATTGCTCAGTGGTTAAGAGCACAGGCAGCTATTGATGAGGACTTTGGTAACAGCTCACAACCATCTGCAACTCCAGTTCTAGTGGATCCAATGCCTTCTCTGGCCTCCTTGTGCACAGTGCATGAATGGGGTGCATAGACATAAACCACAGGCTAAACACTCAAAGATCTCAAAAATAAATAAAGGATACCCAGCACTTCATGCAAGATGTGCTGTGGTACTTGACTGTACTAGAACTGGAGAAGTAGAGACAAGAGGTTCAGAACTTTTGAGGTCATCCTGGGATCTGTGAGAACGCATGTCAAAAATGTCTGCATGGTGTAGCTTGGTGACACATGCCTTTAATCACAGTACTCAAGAGGAGGCAGAGCAGGCAGTTTTTTGTGAAGTACAGGCCTGCCTGGTCCTCACAGTGAGTTCCAAGCTAGCCAGGACTACATATAGAAAAACACTGTCTCAAAAATAGGAAGCAGGAGAAATGGTTTAACTATTTCTATCATTTGCTGCTCTTCCAAGGGACTTGGGTTTTATTCCCAAAACCTAAACCAGGCAGTTCACAATTGTCTGTAACTCAAGTACCAGGGGATCCTCCACAGGCACCTGCACACGAAGGCAAACACATTCATATAAATTAAAATGAATTTTTTAAAAAGCCAAAGTTTGGCTTCAGAGGTTTATAATATTACAGACAAGTATTGTGAACATAGGGATTCTGTTGGAGGCCATATTCCAACATGTAATTTTAATGTGAAACTGATTTCTTGTAAACTGTATAGAAATATTTATCTAAGCAAGGATTTATGAACAGAGAGCCACACTTTTTCACTATTTGTAACAGCAATAGGATAAAAACAAAATAAATGTAGGACAGGAGGTTCACAAATGCCAAGGTACACAAATGTTGCAGAAGATTTTTATCTAGCAACAGGAAGAATGTCTACATTATTGTTTAGGGTTAAAATTAAAAGCTAAGAAAAAGACTGGCTGTTGGGATTAAGACCCTGGACACGTGGCTAAGGTGCCTATTTAAGAAACCAAAGCAAACTTGGCCTCCAGGTTCTCCTAAGCATCCCTCAATCCCTATCAGCACACTTCATCCTCTCCCAAAGCAGCTCTTCACTATAAAATCCTAAAATTTTGTCCACCTACCCCATTCCTTCCCCACCCTCCAAATCCCCCAACCCCACACCATGCTTTTTCTCTCTGCCCCTCAATTTTCTGTCTGCATGGTAACATCCCTGACCTCCTCCTGTGAGATCAGTGAGCCTACCTGAGAGCACCCAATAAACTTGCCTTTATATACTTTAATTTGGCTTGAATTGGCTCGTTTCATTGGAGGAGAATACACTGGTCTAAATGGTTATTATATTCAGTAATAGAATATTTGTCTGGTATGCACAGGGTACTGTTTTTAACCCCCAGATCCCCACCAAAAATTATTTCTAAAATATAAAACAGATAGTAAAAATCTGTAGCTACATCGTTGTTCTTGGTTGGCACTATGCCCTCCTATCTATCATAGAGCCCAATATCCACTTTAATACACTGAATGGCTTAAGAAAGAAAATACAAGCTGGGTGTAGTAGGCATATGCCTTTAATCCCAGCACTCAAAAGGCAGAGAGGCAGGCAGATCTCTGTGGTCTAGATGGCAAATTCCTGGCAAGCCAAAGAACCTGTCTCAAAATATAAAGAACGAAAATAAACACTGAGAAAATGGCTCAATTGATAAAGTGCCTATTTTACCAAGTATGAGGACCTGAGGTCAGATCCCCAACACTCTTATAAAAGATGAGCACACTGTTATATGGTTGTAACCCCGACAAGAGGGAAAGGTGTATGTGGAAGCCAGAGAATGACGTAAGGTGTCTTCCTTAATATCTCTCAGTTCTATTTACTGAGAGGCAGGCCCTCTCACTGAATACACAATTCACCAATTCAGACAGCAGTGGCAGCTTGCCACAGTGACTGATGCCTTGTCTCTACTTTCTGCATAATGGAATTACAGGCAGGGTGCTAAGCCTGGGCAGTTTGAGCTCTTTATCACTGTGCCATCTCCCCAGATATAAAATCACATT